GGACCAATACAAAGCCCTGAAATCACTGGAGAGGCTCATATGGAGTCTAACAGAAAGTGACTCCTGCTCCAAAGACCTGACCTCTTGCACAGCACTTAACGCATGTGCCTAAATCCTCCGACCCCGCTTGAAACAGAGTTTTGGGTGATAAAGCCACTGGCATTTGCCATGAGACTTACCTGATGCAGACATACATAACAGGTAGAGCAGCTGCATAGCCTCTGTGTGACCCCAACAACAGCTGTGTCTAGCCCAGAAAGCCAGTAGATATCTGCCTAAACACTTCTGGTTTTGCTAAACGTGCTAAACCTAGAGATTTGATAGGCTTGGTGCCCACAGTCACACACAGCTCCATGCTTCACGGTGTTCATCTGTCTCCTTTTCTTTATTAGCTCCCTTCAAGACCCAAAGTGTGGGGATTCTCTTTTGATGGGCTGCTGCCAAAATTCACCCCCTAAACTGCAGGATTTACTACCAGCATCCACTCATTGCTTTAATAATCCATTTTAAGTGGCCATCTTTTAAAACAACAGCTCTACTATTGTTATATTTAGTATATGCTCTTGAAATACCCAGTTATTTCATAAGTTATATGCTCCTGAAATACCCAGTCTTTTCTGCACAAGTAACAATTGGTAGGGACACACATTTCATGCAGCCGCACCAGCAGTATTCAAACCTCCAGCCAACGTTTCCCATCACATCCTATTTTAAACTGGTAGCAATGGTGCATCTGGCCATGTCCTCATGCCCCAACCCCCCCTTGAGCTCAGCCACATCCAGAACCGTGTGAGGGCAGCAATGCCGGGGAGAGGGCTGAACCACAGAGCCTCATCAGGATGGTGGGAGATGTCCCTGTTGTTATTCAAGCAGAAAGCCAAAGGCAACCCTTGCTGGTTGTACGGGATGCGAGGAGAGCGCTGTGCATGTGTAGTTTACACAACTGAAATACGGAAGCTGACATTTTTATGACTTTCATAATCTTTCCAGTAAGCAGCATTACCTCGCAGCAGAGACCGGCTCTGTGTCCATGACAGGTATGAGGAGAGACAGAGCAGCATGCTCAGGGAGCAGCCGGCACACTCAGGCACTTCTGCCAGTCCTTTGGGAACTGCCTCAGAACTTTGATGCCAGCTCACACAATGAATACTCACCAATTTATGAGAGACATGAAAATCTTACAGATCTTCAGCTATAGATTTTGCTCCTTATTCTCCCTAGTGGCTAGAAACAGGTTCATGGGGGCACACACATGTATACATCCCTTTTTCCTCCCCATCCTTCTTTAGACTCTGAGGCCAGCTTTGCAGGCACTACTCCTCTGCAGCTGCCTTTGAGGTACTGCTTTCTCCCCAGGATTCCCTGTAACACTTACAGTCTTCATTGCTGATACAAGAAAAATGCAAGTGGAGATTTGGGCACCTAGAATAAAGGGCCAGACATCTAAATCAAGGGCTAAACAAAGTGCGTTTATGAATTTACTGACACTCCCTGCTTTTAGCTACTTCTGTGCTGTTTGTTGGCTCAGCGGCTCTGAACAAAGCCCTTGTAACACTTGCATTTCCTCAGCATCAATAATACATCCCATCAGGTAAGCTGTGCTGTGCTGCAGCGAACTGAGCCTCACAGGGTGTCACACTGCTGCAAGCCAGGGTGAGATAACAGGACTAGATGGGGCTGTTGCAGCTGTGATGGGATCCAAGGCGGCAGAGCAGAAGCTCTGCTGCCAGGGAAGCACAGTGGCTCCATCCTTCCAGGGGCTCAGATGCATAAAGTCCCTTTTTGGGTTTTTTTCCTTTCTTTTTCTGACATCCAGCACAAGAATAGCTACATCTGCCTGGCTGTTACTAATTCAGGATGCACTTAAGATGATATTCATTAAATGCCTTTCAATCAAAAGGATGAGAAGCCCCTACAGCCATGACTCATGCAGGTGGCTCACCCTTGCAGAATGGGCGTTCAGGGAGATCTGATCTTCCAGGGAGGTGCAGGATTACTTTTCAGTGCATCTTAAAGAGGCAAGGAAGGTGGAGCTGATGTAAAAGGTTACACTTCCTTTCCCCAGCATACAGGGCCTGGGTTTTGCAAGGAGTTCAGAGGTGGCACACACCCATTCACTTCCAGAGGAACCTGGCCGCTTTAATGCCTTTGAAATCTGCCTGCCTTAATGCCAAGCAGATGCTGGCAATGCCTTCAGCTTATCCACCCAAGTATAGTGCCCTCCCCTTAGAGCAGGCAGCAACACATTTTCCACATATACAAGTCTCAAGGATAGCATTTAGGAAGCCATTCCACTTGTGCAGCACTCAGCCCATGGGTTCACTTTAAATCCTGAGCACGAAAGTAGAAACAGGCATCAAAGGCAGCTTAAGGACCTTAAAAAGGCCTCCATTAAAAGTAAGGCAGCAGCTGAATGTGCAGCATACCCTTAGGAACACATCAAGTAACAAAAAACTTAAGCTATTTTCCTCTTAAGATTAAAGTGATACACAATATAGTGTTTATTAAAATGCAACACTGTTTCAGTATAAATTGCACTTATACATAGAAAGGTGTTTTATTCACTCTCCTTTTCTACAAGGGCAATGCATAGGTTGGAGTACTTTGCCTGGTGCTTGCTTGCACTTCTGACTGATGAAGTGTGTCTGTGTCCAGAGTTTCATTCCATGTTTGCTGAAAGGAGATGACACGTAGGGGACAAGCAAGACTTAGTCAAGTTAAGGCATGGGAAAATAAATGTAGTCAAGGATGGAATAGAACTCAGCCAAACCCATCACATCTCTCTTTCTGGTGAGCATTGTTCTGAATCAGTGAATATTCATCACCTAACAGGAAACACAAGGAATTCTTTCATTTTACGCTTTGCTGCAAGTTTCAGTACACAGATTTCTTTGCTACTGCTCCTTGATGGCATCACAGCTCTGGGACTCACTGAGAAAGTCTCTGTCCACTTACAAGTGAATCTGCAGCATGTCACAGCTCTTAAGGATAAAGTTTATGAATGCCATAACTAATATTTTCAGCATTCATTCCTTTAGTGCAACATAAGCCCTTGAGAAGTTCAGACCAGGATGACAGAAATGAACACATGCATAGCAACTTGTTTGGGTGATGAAAAGAAAGAAAGGCTCAGACCTTGAAATTCTCCTAACCCAGAAGAACATAATGGCTTTAGGTATTTTTAGATTAAAAATTATTTCTTTTACAAGAAACCAGAAGTGTTACTTATGTGCAGCTTTCTTTTGCCATGGCCACAGCTATATTTGAAAGATTTTCACTATCTTAAAGAAAACACCTTTAGGCAGGTCACATCACAGCCAAGTCATAATTTGTGAAGTAAAACACAACCGTGAAAACAGATATTTAACATTATAAAGAACATACTACTAATGGCAGCTAAGAAATGTCCCCTCTGCATGGTGGGAAGGGGAGAGGTGGTGGGAGACGACATGAAAATAAATCATTAAATCACAAATGTCTGTGTTGTTTGGGTTTGGTTTTTTTTAATCAGAAGGGAAACCAGCAAGCTAGAGTTTTACATACTTTAGCACCCACTCTTTGCTAAGGCTGCTGCCTGTTGAGAAATATCCTGGCATGCATGACAATAATAGGAGTTATGCAAGAGAAATAGAAATGGTCCAAACACCTAAGGAAAGAGAGGCAGGATCACACCCAAGGAGATTTCAAATCTCAACAGATCATGAAGGTCACAAGCTAATGAAAAGCGAGGCAGTCCTGTCCTCGCAAAGGATGGATCCTGAACCCACAATAGCAATGCTTAATTTAAAATAAAGCTGATAGCTGTTAAGAACTGCTTGGAAAAAGGGCAAGGAGGAGCTTTACCACTGTGTCTCTGGAGCGAGGCTGGAGGAGAGGTGAATCCTCAGATCAGGGCAACCACAAGCCCAACATGGACCCCAGTAGCTCTGCGCATCCCCACAGCTTCCATCTCATGGAGCCACTCACCTACACCGCCCTGCTTAAATTTGCCCCTGACATTATTCCTGGTGGTGGGAGGGTTTTCTCTCCTGTTTGTGAAGCCTCTGGGTCACCTGTGAGCAGTTTGCAGTAAAGAGTGCTGAAAAGATGTGAGATATATATAGTATTGACTTTACAAGCTGCATGACAGGTTGCTTTATCCATCTGATATCATTTTGCTACCTACAAGGCATTTCAGAGGTAGCCATCCTACAAAATCTGACTTTTTACAGGTTCAGAAGTTTTTAATCTCTATGAACATTCTGGTAAACAGAAGGGTTAAATATTCATTGCCAGGAACACTTATGGAAAAGCTGAGGAACTCAGAGCCAGGACCAAAGACAGATTTCAGAGGAATTCTCTAAAATACCAGCTACAAACATTACAAAGTTCACCAGCACTTGCTGTCAAATCCAAGCTGCCTTTGGACAAGGCAGAATCTTGCACATAAATGATTTGCAGCTGTAAAAAGCAATCTTGCTTGCTCCAGAAACTATTCTTCTTTCCAACAAACCAAAGTGACTTAGAAACATTAGCATCAAAACTGGATGACAAGGAAATGAAGTGCCTGCAAGGAAGAGAAATTAATTTTTGCAAAATTAGTCCCATTTGTGCAAATATTTACAATCAAGTCTATATTGCACACGCACTCCCACTAGAAGGTGATGAATGCACTCAGCCACATACTGCTATGCATTTGCCTTCAGTGTTTGCAACATTAGCGATAATTGGCATGAGAAAAGTCCTGATGCTTATAAGCTTTGGGAATTGCTGATAACCTGATAAACAAAAATGTTAAGGCAACTTCAGGAGCTAATCAAAACCCCAGCAGGTTGAGGAAATGTCAATATTTACAGCAAGCAGCCTTTCATCAGTTAATCACTTTTAACCTTCATAAGCTAAGATACTATAGAGGACTTCAGGTTAACATATGAACCCTCTATTCAATTAAGGTATTACAAAGGCAGTTACAAACAAATAAGGCATCATGAAATGGAGTACAATTGAATTTATCAGGGGAGAAGCAGGCCAAATAGAGACCAGAGAGCCCCAGTTTCAGTGTTTTAAAGGAAGAAGTATTCTATGTAATTCTAAAGAAACAGACTCAGCATTAGTTCCAAATATTTTATTTCACACATAAAGCACGGTATCCATACCCGTACTAATACAGAACAGACTTATGTCAATTCTGGTGCATGCTTTTGTTATTGCATTATAGTTCATGAGAATTGTAGTGCATAATTAAATAGAAAAAACTTGAACCTGGAATTATAAAACCGCCCCCCACAAACCATCAATTCCACTGGATATGTATTAAGTCATTACTTTTCCTTTTTTTTAAGTTTTCTTTTATTTTTTTAAGGAAAGAAGAAGGGAGTGAAGGAGGAAGAAAAGGGGGGAAGAGAGGGAGAGAAAGAGAAAAAAATCTTTTCCATGTAAATCATTAAAAATGCATGAAGGCATAAAGCACGCCAGGAACAGCCTATGCATTCATTTAGGAGACTACGCACGAGAAAACCCACTGCATTAAAAGCAAAAGAGAGATTTTTTAAACCTCAGGATGGCAGGGAAGCAGAACAAGCCATGGAGGAGACCGGTGGGGTGGAAATGCCCTAGGCAGGGAGGGGATCCTTGTTCACATCCCCCTTCCTGACAGAAAGCACCAGGGGCCTTAAGCACTGCAGCATTCGTGATGCTCCAGCAGAGCTTTCTAAGTTTTATCTTCCAGAGGAGCTAATCACAATAACAAACATATGGATTATTATTCTTGCTGTTGAGTTCAGCTTCTGCCACAGAGAAACCTCCTGGTATGAATGGCTAATTTATTGAGCTACAGATGCGAGCTCTCCTTTGCGTGCAGAAGGAGGTATGATACAGGAGTTAGACAACAGGGCCTGGAATCAGCAATTGCAGGTTAAATATCTCCTTGACACTTCCTGTGTCCTGAAGGCACTTCAGCTCAGCGCTTTCCTGCACTGTGGGAGGGAACACTTGCTATAAATGACGTCCCACTATGAGAATCCTGGGTTTTATATAAGTAAACTTTATCGTTACGAAACACCAGACATCACACACCATCAGGGGACGATTTTCACCTTGTATAAAGCCCTGCTCCTGTGGGACAGGGTATCTGACCTTGATGTGTCATGCCATAACTAGAGAGAGACGTCAGGAGAGAAATGGCTTTTATTGTGTGAAGCTGGTTTGTTTGGTTTTTTGAAGTTTTCTGCGTCATCCTTTTTAAATTTTTAGAGTGAATTTATTGCTCTTGAAATCCATACCCCAGGGGCCTGGGTCCGCTCAGCACAGACAAGAGTACATGGGAAGCAGTGCTGCAGCTTTCCCCTCTGGTGTTTCAGTCCTGACTTAAAGTAAATGCCTGGAGATTATGTATTTATTTATTTATTAAGTTAACTCCACCTCTCTTGGCGCCGCAGTGCCAGGAGGTGCAAATCCTGGTGTTTTTCCTTTATGCCGTGGACACAACCAGCCTGAAAGCACCACTCATTAGCTGTGAGGCATTTAATAATCAATAATGGCCAATCATCGCTGGCACCCCCAGCCCGACTTACCATTAAATATCTGCAGAGGGAGGGCTCTGTGTGGGATGTTCAGGTCTGTGTTTTGAGTCACTGTCTCTTTGGAGGTCTCCATCAGCTCAAGGTGCTGCTCCATCCCAGTTCATGCTCAAGTAACTGGTCTAATGGTGATGCCACCACTCTCACCCTTAGGTCAGAGGTAAGATATGAGGACTAGAAACACCAGACTCCATGTCTTAACTAACGCAGGGTTTGATGTAATCTGCAATAGGGAGACAAAATATCCCACCTGTGCCTATGGCAGGGTTCCTGCTGTTGCTCTGTGTGGCACCTCTGGCAGTGAGCACCAGAGCCTGAGCTGCAGAGACCACAAATATGATCCAGTTTGGGAACCACCATAGCCTGGGACTTTTCCAGGGCTGAAATTTCATAAGCCAGACAAAAAGGTAATCCCCATCTTTTCTGGACTGAGAAAGAGTTACAGCTTTACTGCTCCCGACTGGGACTTGCATAACTCCAGCCCTGTTCCATCCCTCCTAATGATGCCATTTTCTACCATAGGCAGGAGGCAATTGGGTTTTGCTTAATCAGCAATTTTTGAGCTTTTGATTCCCACTCCTCCCCACCCCTTCTTTTTGTCAATATTCATTATAAATGCTTGAAGTCAGGGTTCCTTTTTAGCTGACTGTGCTTTCTCTGCCTCACCCCTTCAGGTGGAGAGCTGACAAGTGACCACTTCATGCACAAGGAAACTTTAAATGAATCCCAAAAGAAAGTATTTGTGTAAGAATGAAAGGGCATCCCAGGCTTCTGCTGAGTAATGGATGTGACAATAATTGTAGGGGAAAAAAGATCCAAACAGTTGGGTGTTGGGCTGTTTGTTTTTTTTTGCTTTCTGCAGCCAGGCTTTTGATCTAAAGATGTAAAAAACCTGACAGTTGCTGCAGCAAGAGCTGCACTTTGATTCTGGGGCACACAGGAAGGAGAGTTGCCAATGTGGGAATCAAGAAACTGGCTATTGCTCCTTTGAACTGTATCAAAAGCTCATCATATTTACTTCTTCCAATTAACAAGTGAATTTATTATGAGTGTAGATGAAAGGCTGGTAGCCAAGATTGGGAACAGATAGGAAGGGGGGCACTTTGCTAGTTACAGCTAAAGTAAGGCACATCTGAACACAACACGGCTGCCACCAGTCCAGCCCCAGCCTCTCCCCACTACTCACTCTTGGTCCCAGAGCCACCACTGCTAACCCAGCCACGGGCTGCTTTTCCCCAGGGACAGCTCCTTGTTCTGAACAGCCCATCAATTTTGACAGGCAGAACAATAAAACTGCAATCAAATGCTTTCCTCCTGCATGCAGAGGCTGGGGATCTGGTTCCCCCTGTATCTCTTACCTTCCATTTACCACTTTGAAGGATTTGTTCTTGAACTGTATCTGGATATCTCAGAGTGGAATTTCATTCTTCTGAGACTTCTACAAGCAGCCTGGGTAAAGAATTAGCATGCGACAGGGAGCACACGGAGCAGCCTGCAGCTCACAGAGCTTTCTGTCACCATTGTCTGCACCAGGAGAGCTGCCCAAAAGAGATGATGCTCTCTAGAACATGGGAATTACCCTAAGAAGCAATGGAACACGTCTGCCTACTTTTCACTCCTCAAAGAATGAGGGCAGTCTTCCTCCTTTGCATAATATAGATAAGATGTACTAGCTGCGATCTTCTCACTTAGACTGGCCAAAAAATGGATGTATTGGAAAAAAGAAAAAAAAAAAATAGGAATCATATTGAATTTTTTCCATACATTTACTCCATGTGGGCTGAAAAAATAAAATGTGAAAGCAGAGCCCATTCCTCAGGTCTGAGGCACGTTTGTGCAGGACTGAATTATGTTGGGTTTGTCCTGTTTTGCTTGCTAAAGGAAATATCCTAGAGGCAGAGCGAATGCATCCAGGAGTTAAATTAGTATGTTTGATCTGGGATTCAATACAGCTGATCAACATATATCCTTGAATGAGTTACATTCAGAGCATAGTCTAATTAAACTCCTCTAATCTTCTTCTACATCCTGGCATGTATACCACCCTCGTGGTGCTCAGGGTGTAGCAAACACCAAAGATGCTAGCACGTACCCATGAGGACCATATAAAATTTCTAGAGAGGAGTTAGGACTCTGCACTAGAGAAAAGATGCTGTTTCCAGGATGCTATTAAATGAGTAAGCACTGCCCTACACCCTGTCTGTGCTTTCTGAATGAGATGTCCTGGCTGCTTAGCTGGGGAGACTGTCAACATGACTGATCACCCCTCACTGCCTCAGGAAAGGGCTTTTGTTTATATTTCAGGTAGACAGTTTTACTGCATTATATATGATCCTTGCAATTGTTACCACTATCTGCTTCTGCCCTAAATATAGTGCAAATGTTCCTTGCCCTTACCCTGGTGTCACTTCCATCCTTCATGCTCCCACTCCAGGTCTCTTACATTGGTTCCAGAAGTGACAAATCAGCACAAATGCATCACTGCTCTTCAGGGCTTGGCAGTGGAGCAGCAGCATGTGCCTGGGACGTGCCTCTCTCTTCCCAGGCATGCTGGGGATGCTGTGTCTCAGAGCTGAACAGAAACTCTGATCCTGTGCGATTCCTCTGAAAGCTTCCCGTAAATATACAAGGCTTATGCTGACAAGCTTGCACTAGATTTATACCCCCAGGACAGAGCAGTCACTTGTTCAGTCATAGAGAATATTCCCAAGTCCCTCACAGATCTAGTGGTGGGTAACCTGGTAACAGGACAGTTTTGATTTCACTGCCTATCAGATTTCACTGCCTTCCTGGGGATTTTGGGGAGGGGGACAGAAAGAAGAAGGAGGGAATTATAGCACCAAGTTGAGAGAGAAACCCTTTCTTCTTGTTTCTGTTGCGATCCTGCTCAGAAGCATCAAGGAGGTGGGCTGTAGGAGCGATTACCATCACACAGTGCGTCTCTGTATTTATCCTCCCTTGCTGATGCTCCTGTCAAACCAGCTCATTCTGCAGGGCAGGAAAAGCCGCATCCACCAATTCCAGCTTTAAGTTCAGCTTGTGCATCTGAAAATGAAATGGGATAAATCCACATCACTCTCCAGTGATAGAGTAAAGCCACGAGGAACTTAGCAAGCAAACCATGGTGCATCTCAGTGTGAAGGCTGAGCAAAACAGCATGTTCTTCCCTCTCACTGTCTGCTCTGTGCTTCTGACAGTGCCACAGACAGCAACTTGAATTTTCAAGGCTCCTCACATCCCCTGTAGGTCTAACTCTCAAGGCATCCTGAGAGGAAGAACCATGTCCCACTGGGATAGAATTACTTTCAGATGCAAAGGATGCCTCGGAGGAGGAAAAAAAAAAAGACAAGGGGCAGCAGGTCATCCTTGCTGCAACAGAACAGATCTCCATTTCCATCTCCTGCCCACTGCATGCTCCAGAGTAACTTACAGCAGCACTGGCCAGGTCAGAAACTGCCTTTCAACTGGGCACTTCTGCATCAAGTCAGTGCTTTCCCCAAGACCAGATATGAAAAAAAGATCCAACATTTTTAAGATTTGTCTGAACTGGGAAAGAACAAGGGATCACCCTGTTGTCTATACATTTATGGATTTATTCAGCAATTATTCCATGGTGAAATGCAGTAAATTATGGGATGGAACACAAAGAACTGTCATCAGGAAAAAATAGACATAGATCACTGAAGTACAGTTTATCCACCTGAAATTATGGGTTTCAGAAAGGGCAGGAGTTAGAATTTAGGTAAGGTACAGAAGTTAACACCCTTCCTTTACACACCGAATGCGAACAAGAATTTCACCATACATTCACCATCTTGAATACAGCAGATCCAATAAGAACCTCTCCCTAAAATACCCTTTGTTCAACAGAAGCTATTTCAGCACTGGAGTATTCCTTTGGACGTCTCACCACACACTGACCAGTGAAGGATCCACTGAAGTTACAGCCTGGGTAAACTGGAAGTAGACACGGAAAACACTGACCATGATGAATTCAGTGGCAAAGCAGGAAAGTGCAAATGCCAGCAAGTCATTTCCTCTCTGTAATTAAGGTTCCCTGAAGAGACCCAGTAAATACAGGATGATCCAATTCCTTACGGATTTCAAATTTCCGATGGCATTAGTGCATCTGAGATGCTCTCAGATCATTTGCAGAAACAGGCTGGTCTAGTCCAGATCTGGAAAGAAACTTCTTTCTTCAAGTGAGGGGATATCTGTTTCATACATAACTCATTAGCCACTCTGCTGAATTGCCAATTACTCATTGTTTTGATCGGTGGCTCTTGAGTAACATCCATCTCCAAAGCTTGCTCAGGACTAGTCATTCCTTCCCACTTGCCACTGATGGGCTCAATCTCTTTCCTCTTTTAGAGAGGTTGATCTGACAGGCAATCATTTTGCCTTTCTGAGCTATCCTGCTGGCTAGAATTTTCCTTTCATTATTAAACTAAAACTGAAATAAACCAACCAAACAGACAAACCCTCTTAACTGTGTGTCAAAAATAGAAAGCACAGGTTTTTAACAAATGACCCATAATGGCACATCAGTGACTGTGCTCTCTAAAAGATAAGGAGAATCCTGGCTTCAGCTTAGAAATGCAAGCATGGTGGTGAGGGAATGATTTCCAGCCTGCTCCACAGTACCATGAAATACAAGGTCATACTTCACTAAGCTAAAGTAACGGGAAAACAGATCTATTTTTTCCAGTTTCTTCAGAGTAGTTGGCTTTACTTTTCCTTCAGTACCCACCCAGCTTCACTGAATATACACAGAAAAGCAACAGCAAATAAAAGATGTGACTATAAAATCATGCAGTAGGATTTACCATCTAATAATACTTGAAACTTCTGAAAATAACTTGATCAAGTCTCAATGAGACTCCTTTGAAATAGCAAACCATCTCTTGCATGAAAATGTATTCACCAGAGTGTAGTTAATAGCTGGCTACGAGAGACCATTTTTACCACTGAAATGCAGCTAATTCATCATATCTCAAGGGCTGGTTTTTTTCACTGGTAACTTTCATTCCATCAATACACTGCAGAATTCTTTGTACAAGACAGTTCTGATAAAGCAGAATAGAGCCAAGGAGAAATCTTGGAGAAATAAAGTGAGAACATGCACTCTGTGGGCCCAGAGCAAGACAGAAAAGCTGAGCAGCACACAGTGCCGAGGAACTTAACCCCCCCCAAAGAAGTAGCTGCAGAGTTCCCCCTGCTTTAGCTGCAGCTCATTAGCTTCCAAACCTCTGCAAACTTCTCCCGAAAAGCGGGTGAACTCTGGTGTCAAGATCACAGCTGTAATTGCAGCTTTTCCCTGAACAGGGGCTTGCTCGGACTTATCCGGCAGCAAACAGAAATTAGACCAAGCAGCTAGTCCCATAGACTCCTCTGCTGTCAGCACAGATCCTGCTGCCATTGAGGCAAGCAGTATGGGCAATCCAGAAATAATAGGACAAACCCACAGCGGGTTTTATTTGTTACTGTCTCCTTCTCATAAACATTTTCTGTAAAGACGGGTGGTACACAATACAATGTAAGTGATAATTTTACTGGAGGATGCCAGTGCACTTCTTATGTGAAAAATCAAACCAGGGTTTTTAATTCTGACAAAGTGTTAGGAGACACCTTTATAAAAGCACTTTAAGGCCAGGAAAAGAAAAAAGAACTCTGCTTTCAGCTGCATTAACTTATTTTGTCTAATTTTCACACCACATGATTAAAAAATGAAGATAATCTTTTCTGATTCCAATTTCTTATGTGTCACCTTCACCTTTGCCAGGTGGTGGTGGAGAGCTCAGGGAGGTCTGCTCTTTCATGCTGACTGCCTTCAGCATCTCAACAGACAGAGTTTTTGTTAGAAATAGCCCACTCATTAAAATTTGCTTGCTCGATTGTGTTTTCTTTTCACTAATGATACCCACTCCTATACTCGCTGTTGTGGGTGAACACAAAGCAGGTAAAACCAGTAGAAACTGAGCCAGACCACTAAGCCTCATGCTCTAAGACCCCAGCTCAGCAATGCAACTGTTACATGCCTGCTTGGTGAGGCTCTTCAGCACCTCCTGCAGTGCCGCACTGAATTTGGATTAGGAATTCAAGGAAGGAGACAGATATTGAAATGCTAAAATCTTCAGCAATTCTGGCATCCGCTGGGAAAAATCTATGGGATAGAACCAATAAAAAATAAACCAGGGCAAGCGAATTATTAATCTCTCTAAACCCCTCTAACTGGAACTGCCCCCTCTGGAGGATGCATCCCAACAGATCCGCTGCGACATTCCGCTCACATATTTATGTGTGTGTACATATTTATGTGTGTGTTTTATCACATACTAACATGGGACTTTCTTTGATTTGTATATGGGATAAAAAAACACGAAGTTTCCATCAAACTTACAGAAATCCTTAATAATGATTTAATGCAGTGAAATCTGGCTCGCCACAAGGCTGTGACAGGGCTGTATTTTGTTCTGCCAGGGTTAGGTGCTCTCTGATGCAGCAGCATTCTTCTGCTTTTTTTTCCTTAAATGAAAACTATATTAATCATTTATGAAGCTGTGGAGTCTTGTCTGGACTCTGAGCATTGTTAAAGGTGCAGGGTAGGCAGCATGAGGCAGGAGAGGGCAGGGAGGGAGAGCAGCTCCAGCCTCGAGCAACTGGACGCGGCTGGAGCCCTGGGTCTGTCTGAGAGCAGCGTCACGGCCACGTCTGCCGGGGTGGTGAGCACACGCCAGCAGGTTGGCCCCTGTTTGTGTTTGTGAATAAATCTCACTTTGCAAGAACAACACAAATAATAAAGAGCCAGCAGCACCCCTGGCTGCATCGGGTAAAGCTACCCAGCTTTCAGCCCATGCGTTTAATAACACCAGCTAAGGCCATGCCACCAACACGCCGTCTAGGGAGCCTTTTTGCTCATTTTTTTCTCCCTCTGCCACATTTCATCATGCTTAATAAAAAAATTCAATAATTGCTAGCGTGGAGGTGAGCCACCTTCTCTGGGAATAGCCCTCAAAACCCAGCAAAAGACCTGGCAAGGTGCTACCGCACAAAAACCAAAAGGAATTCCCACCCCCTTGTGCCCTCTTTTGAGCGTTTGCTGTCCTCAGCGGTTTGTATTTTTACCTTGCTGTAAGAAATGTCCCTGTCTGGGGAGGAAAAAAACCAAGAGGCAGTGGCTGAGCCTCAGAGTATGCGACTGACATATATAATCTAGATTGGCTTTCGCAGGCAGACCTTTGATTGAGGAGGAAGAAGAGCAGCTGGTCAAAGTAATCTGCTCAGAGCAATTTGCATAATTTTCTCCCCCGTTTCCTCCGGCATTGTGAGCGTGTCTGGAGAGGAACACAAGCGGCAGATGCTGCGTCGCTCTGTCACAGGGTATAGCAAAGTGGAGAACGTGGGTCAGAATTCATCTGCTAAATATCCCCAGCAGGTTAAACAGTTCTGGAGAGCTTCAGTCACAGATCTCCTTTTGAAAAGCTTTCTCTTCTATTTTTTTTCTTTCTTTTTTTTTTCCCTTCACTGAGTACAAATGATTCCATTTCTCCAGCAATTGCATGTTTCCTTTCACACTTGTGTGCTATTCAGAAAGATACTCTTTGTGTTTCTTTATGGAGCTGGCTTCCAGGACCTAGTATTTCTTTCCCGTGCTTGGATGAAGAACCCATTACAAATGGGTTGTTTGAGAACAGAAAGCTAGGCTTCTGGATTAAATATGAATGTGTGTTTAATATTAAAAACAACATATTCAGTTGTGGCAAGAAAGGCTAAAAGCCATCCTCCGGAGTTCCAGTTTTGTACTGGGTCTGGGACACTGGTGAAAGGTACAAATTTTGCAGCTGGCTCACCAGCTTCCACAATGGGTGCCTGAAATCAGGCTTCTGAACCGTGGTCCTGCTGAGATGAAGGAATCTCTGTAAGCAAAGGAAGGCTTTTCTAACCTGATCAAAGCTGATCCCACACTATGATCCCATGGTTTTTGCTCCCTGCTCCTTGCCATGCCTCTTGGGCAACGGGCAAAGCAAACAGCACTTTCCCTACAA